AGTCCAGCCCTACAGACCTGCAAGCAAGAATGCCTGAGAAAATCGAGAAACCATTTCTCTGTGCCACCTGATTATTTTTTAGTTCAAACATGTGCCTCTGGCCTGTGAGATGGCTCTGTGGGTAAAGGTACTTGCCACCGGGCCTGATGACCTGAGTTTGACCCCTGGGGCCCACCTGGTAAAAGGAGAGAACTGATCCCTGAAAGTGGCCCTCTGACTTCCACACTGCAGCCATGGTGCACGTACAGACACACACAGACACACAGACACACACACACACAAATGACTGTAATAAGTTGTTTTAAAATGTGTCTTGTTTAGTCAGAAATGGCTGAAAATGGTACCAGGGTAGTAGAGAATGTAAGATTCATGATAGATGGAAGATAAATATCTCTTTCCATTATAAATAGTGAAGAGAAACACAAATACTTCCAAGCTTGCTGAACTGCTTCTGTCTGCTGGGGCAAGGCTGTAGGTGACCATGTGCCAACCATCCTACGGGCCTCAGTGGAATGGTCCCTGACAGCAGCAGATTGGGAGGCAGGAAATGGTGTGTGGGATTGCACCTGAAAGGGCAGGTGATAGTGCCTGATGGTGACCATCTCCCATAAGCAGTCTTGAAGATTCAAGATGGACCACAAAGGTCCTTTTCCGTCTCCTCTATGACAGAATTCCATGGCCTTCATTTGGAAGAGTCCTTCCCCAAAATGAACAGCTTTATCTAGTAGGGAAGATCAACAAGAGTCTTGGAGATAGCTGCTTTTTGAGGGAAACTGTCTCTGAGCCAATAGCACATTGTAAAATATGGCCATGAAGGAAAAGAAAATTAACACTGAAGAGAAAATTTGGATGGTCAAGAAAGAGCAAGGGCAAGTGAACTCTGGGTAGAAGGAAGAGCAAAGCAAGCTGTCCTTGGTCAGCAAAGAGTGCAGCAGCTTTGCAGAGGAGCTCAAAGCCAGTGCAGTCAAAGCAGAGCCAGCACAGGAGATAGGGCAAGGTGACATTCAAGAGACAAAGGAAATGACCGAATTATTAGGCCCTGTGTACACGTACCAACTATTACTACCAAACTGCAATTTTCTAATCTCTTCTGTGGTTTCCTTGCTGGCCTCTGTGTAAACATGAGAAATATTGCTTAAGGCTAAAACTGCTCAACTTGTGGGTCTTCTATACCACATGGAAACCCCAGGGATTCAGTGAGGAAATTCTCCAATCAGAGGCCAGTTTTGAATATAGAACACAAGGCTGGGTAAGTTTTCAAAGCTCTCAGTTCCAGAGGGACTGTCAGCTTGCCAAGTTCCAAGACATCTCATCACTTTCAACCCTGCCATTCTTCCAAATATGTATAATTAGGAGCATAATAAAATACTTCATCACCCCATTTAGACCAGTGGAGAATGAATCTCCAAGCTACAGATCACCCAATATCACTGACATAAACTACCTGTATGCGAGGACAGACCAAACCACGAGAGGAGACAACTACTCCTGAACCAGGGAACCGGGTCATGGTTCCTGATGGTGAAGCCCTGGGTTAAGGTGCCAAGCCAATGATCTATCTACTGATTGTGACTTGCAAGTAGCTAACCTATCATAACACAGACAGCACACAAACATGTTTCTTGATCAGGAAAACAACCTTAGGTAATAGATACAAATACTCAGTTCTATAGACGAGCAAAAGGAAGCCCAGAGTCATGATAATTCCAAAGCCCATGCTCAAAAGAGCCAATGTGCCTATGGTGCATAAAATTCCAAGCTGGTAAAGATAGCAGCTATCATTACCTCTGAACAATACTATCAAGTAGGAAGTAGAATCTACCATTTTCAGTTTTCAGTCACAGGTTCCCTTTCTTTCTCCTATCTATGGATGCAATTTCCAGCCTTTTCCTCCAAAAGAAACATGGGGCTCCTGTAAGGAATTCCTGAGTCCTCCTGTGATTGAGTCTGTGAGGGGAATGGGGCCCTCATCACACCTACTCCAACACCCCATGCTGACATTGGGGCCAAGCATCTGAACATCAATTCATTTTAGGTGATACTTTTTCTTTTAAAACATTTATTTCAGAAATCACCCTCATGGCCCATCAATAGTAGCTTTCCAGGGCTCTTCCCCAGGTGGCCTTGAATATTATATTTAATTTCCTGTTGGAAAGGAGAAACGGGTGCTGTTAAATGCCATTCACTTAACAAAAGACCAGGATCTGAGTAAGGCTGGGGACACAGGGTGGGATGGATGGGTGGGACAGGAAACTAAAAGTGTACCCAGAAATGGCTTTATTTTATTGCTTCTCCATGTGGGTGTAAGGGATACAGTGCACTCAGCTCTCACACAGCACAGAAAGCCCTGGAGATCACAGTGGGGCTCTTGGTAGCACCCTAAGGAGCACAATACACACTTCTCATATTTCCATAGACTTTTAGCTTACCTTCCCTTTACTCATCATCATCACTTAAGCTTTGGGCTCAGTATTCATTTCTAGAACCCAGAGATTCCTCTTCTTGTATTCCAGCCTGACAATAATTTTATTTTTATTTTCACCAGCCTCTCTGTGAGATTAGGGAGGATGCTCCCCATCTCATAGCTCTATCTCTCAGAATAACGAGAGGCTATGATTAAATATTTGGGCATTGATCTTTCCAATGAGGCTTTGAGTTCATGGAGGGCAGGAACCCTTTTCTGATTCATCTATGGATCCTAATTCTTCAAAAGGTACCCCGAGAAGGAATCAAAGAACTTAAGTAATGAATGAATATATGAATCAGTTAGGCAACATTTGCTCCAATTCCAGATGGGAATTAAAGACCATACTCCAATGACCATGTAGAGAGAGATGACACCAAGAATCTCTAGAAAATTCCCAAGCTGTCTGGAAGGCTCTGCTGAACAAAGAAAGAGCCTCAATGGTCTTTACCCTGCTCTCCACTCAGAGACTCACTATGACACCACTTTCTTCTTAAGAGGCAATCAGCACTAGGAACAGCTTGGATCTGAGGAAATTGCAAGTCTGGCATGCTGAGTTCTCAATGAATGGCTTTATGGATTTCTTCTCTCACACAGACTCATCTGTGCGAGAATTGGGGGCTGATCATTAGCATGCAGTGGGCAGCTATGTGATTACTCTGTTGGTACCACGGGGAGCTTGTAGAATAAAGTCACATCGAAAGCCTTTACTACAACACCTGGTACAGAACAGGCACTAAGTGAATGTTTAGTTAATGGTCTTCTCAAAAAACACTCCATAAATACTTGCTAGAAATCTATTGCCTCCTAGGCCCTGTGCTTAATATAGCTGATACAGAACATAAGAGGTAATCCCATTTTAACCTTTAATTAGTAAAAGGATGTCTATGATGGAGAAAAAAAAATGAGAAACATTTCTCCTGCCACCCTAAAATGCCCAGTAAAGAATCACCCACAAAATAATGGCATCTACTGTGTTATTCTAGAAAATAGTCTCTTCTCAGACAGGAAATGGAATTCAAATGAGGATTTCAGCTGAAAAACGAGAGCTAGCCACAAAAGGAAACTTTGGCAGTGATTTCTGAGCTGTCAATGTTTTGAACAAGTTCATGTGTTTGAATACTTGGTCCCCAGCTGGCAGCACTGTTGCAAGAGGTTGTGGAACTTTTCTTCAGGAGGCAAGGTACAGCTAGAGGAAGGAAGTGGCTCTCTAGAGTCCAAGTTCCAGTCCAACCTGTCTGTTCCCAGATCTGCTGAGATATAAGCAAGTGCCTCACAGACCTGTGGCCACAGCTGCAAGTCACGTTGAACTCTGAGACACCTTCTCTCTGTGATGGACTGTACCCTCACAAACTGTGAGCCAAATCAATCCTTCTCTCTTTTTACAGTGATCAAAGATAATACAAATGCTCTTGACTATTATAATCCCAGAACTTAGAACCATGCTTGAGCTGAAGTAGAAAATCAGCAAGTTTGTTGGACATGAGCATTTATACACATAACTATAATTTAGCCCTTGTGTGGGACCCAACATTTCACACACTTTTATTGAGGATTTCCTGTGAACAAGAGTCAGTGCCCTCACTACCCCCCAGGGGAAAAAAAAGAGAACAAGGTAGAAATCTTGCCTTCAAGCATCTTGCAGCCTTAAAGGAAGATAGACATTTAAAACACCATATCACAGTGCTGCAAATGTTAAGAGAAGAACAGACAAAAAGAATCATGACAGTCTCAAAGACAGAATGGTCACTTCCTTGAGGGTCTAGGAAAATCTGTGACTAATACAGACTTTGTGCTTAGCCTTAAAGGAGAAAGAATTTACACCTTGCAGGAGGTAGAGTGTAGATATTTGGCAAAGAAAGGGAGAGGAGAAGGGCAATTCAGATAAAAGGATAGGAAATACAAGGTACATAAAAGGAAATAGAGGAAACTAAAAATAAATAAGCCTGGAAAGGCAGATAGAGCCACGGTGCTCAAGTTTTGGACCTGAGCAGGTCATAGGATCTCTCTCGAGTAGCCAAAGCTTAGCATATGTTGGGTCTTAATTAATGCTAAGCAGCAGCCCAATGGCAGGAACCAGTTCCCCACATGCACAGAGGAAGTGGCCGTCTGCACACACAAGCAATTTCAAGCATTCCAATTGCTCTGTCCTGAACTCGACAAGCACATCGAATGCTCATGGGGAAAGGTCACTCAGCCAACAGCTCTGATCAGTCCTGGCTCAAGCTGAATCAAATCCCCCAAATAAGATCCACTGGGTGCAGTGTCAGAAAGGTCAGAAACAACCCTGCTTCACATCTTGAAGCATTTTTTACCATGTGGAACATTTTAGAGGAAGGAGGGAAAGGAAAAAAAAAATCCTCTCCAGAAATAATTCCAAGTAATTAAATGTTAAATGACCACAAAGTAAGCTGTGGATTCATTTTGATCATAACCTCTTTCTAATGATCTGAAAAGCATTTCATTTCAAGGAAGACTGTGCCAGTCTTAGAGATGGAGCCCTCCCCACCCCACCTCCCATTTCCCCTCTGCGTACCTTTGTCCATCTCAGTTGAAATGTTCCAGGATGAGGTAGGTACTAACTCAGCAGTGACTGACAACTCTGTTTCTGGAAAGAGAAAGAAGGGAAGGGGACAGACAGGGCAATATTAAATGAGGAAACTTATGGGCTGGTAGAAGTACCATATCCTTATCAGAGAAAGACCCACACAGTACCATAGTTTAACATACTGGAAGCTGTGCAAGTGGCCAGGCATAGGCTTGCATCTTAGAGGCCCTCCAAGTCAGCAAGCTGTAGGTCAGATAGGTAGGCCTTTACTTTAAAACTTTGGCTTGCCGGGCCAAAGGTGGTGGTGCACACCTTTAATCCCAGCACTTGGGAGGCAGAGGCAGGTGGATCTCTGTGAGTTCAAGGCCAGCCTGGTCTGCATAGTGAGTTCCAGGCCAGCTGGGGCTACAGGGAGACCCTGTCTCAAAAATACCAAAAAATAAAAATAAAAAATAAAAAACCTTTGGCTTAAAGGTTAAAATTGAAAACATTATGTTAACAAAATATTGTCCCAACAAAAAGGACCACACATTATTAAACTGGTCTTTTCAGAGACCAACTGTGGACTAATATATTCAAAACTCATCTCACAGACAAAGTGGACAACATTACTGCTGTTGCTGATTTCACCCATTGTTTATGATTCTAACAACAGAAAAATTTGGTTCTCTTCACTAGCACTTTAAGTTGAAGCAAATGAAATCTTAAGTATTTGAATATGAAGAGCCATTTGTGGTTACTCCACTTAAATGAAAGATCATTTTCAAAGCCACCAAAATTTAAAATAAACAATGTAAATCAATCATTTAAAGGATATGATACACTGTTAAGATTTAAAGACTTTTTGAAAAAATATTTTATTTATTATTTTTATTTTATGTGTATGAGTGTTATGCCTGCATGTAGGTAAGTGCACCCATGTCGTGCAATGCCTGCGGGGAGCAAAAGAGGCTGTTGGATCCCCTGGAACTGGAGTTAGGGACTGTTAGCTGCCATGTGGGTGCTGGGATTCGAACCTGGGTCTTCTGCAAGAACAACCAGTGTTCTTAACCACTGAGCCATCTCTCCAGCCCCTTAAAACCTTTTTTGGCACAGGCCTTTAATTACAGCACTTGGGAGGCAGAGGCAGGCAGATCTTAGTGTGTTCAAGGCCAGCCTGGTCTACATAGCGAGTTCCAGGCCAGCTGGAGCTACAAGGAAACCCTGTCTCAAAAAGACAAACAAACAAACAAACAAAAAAACCCAAAAATAAAAACAAACAAGCAAACAAACAAACAAAAAACCAAACCTTTTAGTACACAAATATTTTTGCTGTTGTTTTTGAAAATTTAAACCATGACATATTCTATTAACATATTTAGGGTTATAGTAACTTCTTCTTGGGCTATGTACACACACACACACACACACACACACACACACACACACACACCATATTAGGGGGTCAGGGTCATCAGATACGGCATAGGTGATGTCAACCCCACCCAGACTCCTTCAATCCCTTGAGGACATCATGAATTTATTATGGTTCTTTTTGTCTATTAAGCCTAGCACCTGAGGGGACAGTCTTTTCAAGATAGTGGATTCTAGGGAGTCCCAAAAATAGGTCTGAGTTGGAAATCATGTTGAACTTTAATAAAGTAGAAACCCTGGCATTCAAATCTAGGTCTTTATGACTTGGCTCACATGCCTCCCAGTGGTCCATTTTGCCTAGTACTCAAGGCCGTGAAACCCACTTTATCACTGGCTTCATCTTTTCATAAATAACCACACTTTCTACATTTCCTCATTTACCGATGACCATCTACCAAATGGTCATAGATGGCACATATCCTTGTCACTTTGCCAGGGACTGTTTGCCGTGGAAATCTTGTAAAGGCTACTTCCAGTCTATCTACTCACCACATGTCTCAGAGACACATGGGCTTTTTGGCAGACCTACTTCCTTGTTCTAGGAGCAGGTGGGAAGGCAAATAGACACATGCCACACACCCTACCCACAGCCTCAGTCTACTCCTTCATCCTGAGCCAAACCCAGCACAGGAGTTCTTTAAGGGATCCTGAAGTTAGATGGGCAGTGTATCTAGCAACATATTATATCCTGAAATATGAAACCCTAAAGAAAATTGGATCCAAGTAGAAAAATTCTTAACATAAAACCACCACCATAGGAGACAACACTTCTACCAACTCCCACCCTAGGGATGGGCATTTTGTGCAGGTGTGTATACCAGGAAGTGTTAACAGCCTATACTTAGAGCCTCCATGAAGGACTGGACTGCACCTTAGCCCCCATTCCCCCACTGTCATCCACTCTAGCTCCTTCCATCACAACACTTCCTTTGCAGTATGAGGGACTGCTGTGCCTCACTTTATGAAAACACCCCAACACCCAGACTTCGGGGAGCACAGCAGCCAGGGTTGTAGGCAAACAGGCAAGGACTGGCGAAGTGGCGGGATTAAGACGGACCTTGACGCATTTACATTCAATATTTTCATAACTTCATCTTACTGCTGCTCACAATTAAATTGCCAGAAATCTAGGTTTTGTTTTACAGTATTAACTTCATAGAAAGTTAGCTATATGTCGCTCTGTGTTTCCAACCTGAGTTTGAATTGCTGATTGAATAGAATCTGGCACCGATGACAAATGACTGGATTCCTGGTGCTGCTAACAGTGAAATTGTTCCCTGAGTGTCCCTGGACACTAATTACCGCTCAGTTCTTGGCCAATGGCAAAGATAATTTCAATTTGCAAGCTCATTAACTGATTGAGCCAATTCTGAGGAATTTGGTTCACAGGCTCAAGATTCATTCCTTCTGATAACCACATGTTCAGCTTCTCAGAGGAAAAGATAATTAAAACAGATAAACTACTTTAAAATATAAATCGTAAGCTCCACAAAGGGTGCTATCTTTTTAAGGGTCATTTTTATTATTTCTTATTTAAGTGTGTACACCACTTGTGCATTGGTGGGTGTCTGCAAGGCCAGAAAAGGAGTCAGACTCCCTGGAGCTACCTACAGGCAGTTGTAAGATGCTTGATATGGGTGCTTGGAACTGAACTTGGGTCCTCTGGAAGGGCGCCAAGTGTCCTTAACCAATGAGCCATCTCTCCAGGCTTGAAAAGTGCTATTTTTAAAATTCAATTTTGACCTCATTTTTTAAAAGAAAGGCTCATTCTTTTAATGTGATCATTTTATTAGTAGTAACTCTTCCTCCCTAAATAATGGTTGATTTTTTTTTCCTAAAAGGAAAGTTGGAATTTAAGTGAGAAAAACAGAACACATCCCAAGCTGAGCTCCATCAGTTCCATCACCAGCAGCAGCGTTGAGAGAGGCAGGGCCTCCAGCCTTGACCTGCAATGCTACACTGATGGGGTCATCTCTACTCTGCTTCACCCCACCCACAAAAGGAGGAGCTGCTTCTAAACATCTTTACAATCAGACTTGCAGCTTTTCCTCCTGCAAAATCATTGTGTCATCATAGTGGGTCAACATGTGCAGAATATTTCATGGGGATGCAAACCTAAATTAAAAGACTGATCATGAATTTTTGTGATCATGACTAACTTAATCTGACTTTTTTTTGAATTCTACTTTCTCATTCATATAATAAAGCCACCTCACAGAATTGTGATAAGGAACAAATACAATAATAGACCAAGAAAGAAGATATTGTAAGTGCCTCCCTAGAGAAGGGAGCTGAGACCTCTCGGGCCTTCTCCCATCTCTGAAGCAGAGCATTTATCCTCCACATGGAAGACTGCTAGCTGCTGTCTCCATTTCTGAAACCATGTGCTTGCTCCCCACGCTATCACAAAGGTTGCATTTCACAGGCTTCCTTAATCCAAGCCAATCTTTTTATTTTGTGAGGTTTTTCTGACTCGGTCACCAGTTGTCTCGGAACTCAAGCATTTATATGTGGTTTTATACAATTTAAGCAAATCAAGCATGTTTTAGAAAACTCAGCCTTTATCCATTCTCAATCTCTGTAAGAGAACAACCCTCAAAAGCTATTCTTCTTGAGGTTTGATCACTAAGAGCTAATATCTTTGCAGTCCAGTCTGATGACTTCTTGGCCCTAACTCTGCAAAACATAAGGCTTTGGTAATCCTGAACGTTATTTGAAAGGAGGAAAAAAAAAGTTTTGACTCTTCGTCAGTGATGGAAGCGTGCACTCCAAAGGACCGCTGTTTCATCTCAGCTGTTGGCAGATGGAAACATAACATGCACAAGATACAGAACTGTCTCCAAGAAGCACTCAGCCATACCACATCTTGTATCCCTGAGTCAATGATGTATAAGGTTCCCACAGACACAGGACACAGGAGACAGTGGTATCCTGATGTCACAAAGGCCAAGAGCGACAGCAGCAAGTGATGTTCTTCCTCAGAGCCACGAAATCCTATAGTGGTGTACTCAGAAGGGACCTGAGTTCAGAATACCCATCAATTTGTAGAATTTTGTGGAGGCATCATGATGAGGGCATAACAGAGGATTGGGAGGGATATGATGGCAAGAGAACAAGGCTTTGGATTTTTCAGCAGAACCAACTCTTATTGGTAAAAATCTATGTAAGTGTGGTAAAAGGTGATTATGTGGGAAGGAGTTAGAAACAATTCCCTAGATTGCCAGAGAAGTTAGTAGAAACCAAGACTTGGCTGAAGGGAGGAGAGAAGTCTCCACACAATAGCAAGAGGCTGTGCAAAGAGCAGAGAGATCCAATGCATTCTGCACTTCCTTCCTTCCAATAGTTAAAGGCACATAATTATGATATCAAAACTGGGAACCTGACATCATTCCAAGATGTACATACACTTCTGTCATCTCATCACATGTGGAGATTCATGTATCCACCCCCATAATCAAGACCAAGAACTATTTTATCACCACAAGTCTCCTTCCCACCACCCCTTGACAGCCTCTCCCTCCCAAGCACGCCTGACCTCTGGCAAACACCCATCCACTCTCTATCTCTATAGTACTGTTGCTTCAAGAATATAATAGACAAGGATTGTATCGTATGTTCAAGGCCATTTTTCCCCTCTTACTCAGCAT